CACGAATGAATCAGTTGAATAGCTTTAGCGGATATCCTTCACCTTTTTGCTTTAGCTTGTGCATTTATTATAAACGCTGGGCAGCGAATCAACAGTTTTAATTGTGTAGGTTCGGTGCTTGCTTGTTTCTCAAAGTCGAAGAAGCACTTATTTCCAGAAAATCATCACCAATCCTTTTGAATGCTGCGTCGCATCGTTCAGAAATGTCCGTCAATTACTAAGTCTCTTTATCAAAGCGTCAAAGGGTAGTCCGAAATGATTGGTTGAATAGGCAACAGACATTGTGGCACTGTTAACCAGACGTTATATCCAGGGATTTTTCTAAAGATACCAATGTAACATAAAACTCCTTTTACTCCGGGAAGAAATAGGCAAAGGTCTATTTAAGGATCATCCAGTTTTCGCCCGTTATTTTTCTCATTGTTATTGTAATGCGACAGACTTCTGTGATTCACACACTATTCCTGGCTATTCATAATGTTTTCGTGCCCTTTAAGGAATTCGAAATGTGAAATAGTTTATATACAATTTCTAGTAAAATATGAAGTAAATAAAAAATTGTGTAGGTATGTAACAGCAGCTGGTGATACGTACGTACGGATCTTAAAGAATTTATGCATCATAGTTAAATCATCCGTAATTGTTTTAAATTGCGTTGATTGGATCGACGAAGTTTCTACACCGGGGCCAATTCATTTTGCATCCGTACATGACTTCACACTCACAAGTGTACTTTATACTTATATGGCGAAATCAGAAATTAATTCATGTTTTTATCATTATCACGTTAAAAATTATTCGTTTAACATACTAAGTAGGTTATAAAGGACGAATGTATAAATGTATACTCCGATAATAATATACATAATGCGCTATTGTCGTAGATAGTGTATATGCATTTTGGAAAATACATGCATTTTGAGCACCCATTCTGAAACAGAAAAAAAATAGTAATTTGTAATAGGTCTGATCAGGAATTGAGACTTCTACTAGTGCCTCAAGTGCAAACTCACAATCATTCAAGGCATCGTTTCTACCTAAAAATTAAATTACCAACCACAAGTTAGTACTTAGATATTAACGGTTTTCTTAACAGGTAATGACCGATATTGAGCTGTTTTATAGTCCGTGGAATAACCTAAACAAAGTTATCAATCAACAACATAACTCGGGCACCATATCAAAATAGAGCCATATCATTTCAATAGCAAGTAGGGCATGGTCAAAGAAGTCGTAACATTCGTTTAAACCCTTCGCTTATCTAGTTAATGCGCAAACGCATGTTTGTTGTAAGTGAATGTGCTAATTGAGGCAGATTTAAATAGATAAGCAGGAATGTTTAGCTGTAGTGTACCTAATACATCTCTTTAAAATGCAAAAATGAAAAAAAGAGTTTGAATTTTTGTTATTAAGTTATGAAGACAGGGTAAAAGAAATACTCGACCTATCTACAACCTAAAAGTAGTCTTTGCCTTAGAAATAAAGTTCCTGCTTCTCATGCCTGAGAAGAAGGGTTCGAAACTTGAGATACCAAAGTGATTTTTCCGACTTGTACGAATATATCTACTTATTAAGATTATTCTTTAGACACGACTGTAGGTAGGTACTGATACATATCTTGAAGGACAACATGGAAAGGTAACTTGTATTAAAATTTGAAATCACCAATCCTTGTGCAAGCTTGGTGTTTCATGCTCAAACCTTCAGCTTGAGAAAATAAGCCTTTGCTGAGCAGTGGGCCATTACAGCCTGATGATGAGGATCTACAACCTATTATATTCATTTAGTACCACATATCAACGTGCGGTTATTAATTGCTGAAACAACAGTGCCGATCTGCACTTGTTAGCAACAATAAGACCTTCATATTCGAATTAATAATCCAGTTAAAAATTATTTGAAAATTCTTCCGAAATATCTGCCGTCCAGAATCAGATCCGCTGCGTAGAGATCCGCGCGCGCCTTAGAGAGCCAATAGACCACCACAGACAACAGGGCCCATGTTTGGGGTTGCAGGACAAGCGCAGTAAGGAACCGCATCCTCGGCCTAGAGCAGGAGACGGTAATAGGTGTTTTTTACTTAGACAGTAACAGTCTAACTAAATGTCGTGGTGGCCCGGAGTACAAGGAGTCCGCTTCTCATGCATGAGGGTGTAGGCAAATCCTAAGGCAAGTACCAATGTGACTTTTTCCGAGTTATATGTACTTTCTATGATTATTTAGACACCAATGACATACGGTGAAGATAACCATCGTGAGGAAATCTGGACTTATAATTTCTAATTATAAGTTTGAAATCGCCAACCCGCATTGAGCAAACGTGGTGATTAAATGCTCAACCCTTCTCCGAGTGAGACTCAGCAGTGGGCACTTATGGGCTGATGATGATGATGAATAGGTAGTCTAACATTCCCTCTCCCCTCATGTTGGTTGACAGAAGTCTACTAAACTAGTATTTCATATGACATTTGTGATGCTGTAACATACCTAATTAAATCTATACCAATATTATATAGCTCGAGAGCTTGTTAGTTTCCTTGAACACGCTAATCTCTGGATAGTCCACTTCTCTCACTCCTAAACTTCGTTTTATTAGATATTGTCTTATACCTAGGTACTACAAAAAACACGTGTCAATATTTATTTTATTTTCAAAATGACAGACTCAAATAGATTAATAATGTAAATAGGTAGGTAAATACCCTCTCTCTATCATGGTTCCTATTCTTTGTCCGTAAAATAAAACTGACTGCGAGTTAACTGACCCGTCTAAAATATTACAAAGATGTTATCTAAGTAGGTGTAACAATTACAAATGTTTTCTAAAAGTTAGTAGGTAGGTAGGTACCTTCATTACAACATAATAGAGTATGATTTCAAAAACATCGGTCCAGTGAATTTAGAACTCACAAAAGCAACAATTATTTCGTCACAAAGTCATCGTAATAGGTAACAATTTGTTACAAACTTAATGTTGATAATTAAGTCACATAATACACAGGTTGTATTCTTATATTTAATGACTTATGTAAGCGTAGGTTACCTGCATTCGGAATACCTAGGAACAAGAGATTATTTTAATGACACGGTGAATAAAACGTAACTAAAACAAAAACAATAAAAATGTATGTTTATACGTAATGCACATAAATATGTTGTTTAACAAAATTATATGATTTTAATACTATTCTTATTTTAAAAATAGCAGCCATAACTTTTTAGATGTTGAATTAATTACTTAATTCCTACATAAAATAGACACATGATAACTAAATCTTAAATGTAAATAGGAAATACCTGTACGACAGTAAAATCATTTACAATCGAAATAAAATTAAAATACAACACAATTAATATTACCTATATTAGTCAATGACCGCTGGTGACATCTAGCGGCGAGTAGCATAATCGTTGTTTTTTTTTTTTATTTTTTCAGATTTTTTATTTAAAAAAAATCGACTATTTAATAATTTGGCGACCGTCAAACATATGTATAATAATTCATGTGTTATTCTACCTTAGGTCATCAACCTGGCACCCATTAGTAAGAAGCTTGGGTCCGGCTCTGCTAGCAAAAGCGGAGCCGGGTCTTTTGGTAAAAGTAGTTCTGGAGGTCTTGGAAAAAGCAGTTCCGCTGGATTCGGCAAGACTTCCAGCAGCAAGGTTTCCAGTGGAAAATCCTCCACTTCCACACCGAAACTTCCAAGTGGGCTAGGATCTAGTTCCAGTGGAAAAACATCATCCTTCTTCGGAGCAAGTTCATCTAAAAATTATGGCTTGTCACCGCTTAGCACGCCTAAGAGCAACAATAGCAAACCTGGTTTCGGTATAATATGGATTCCAACCAAAAAACATAATAAAAAGAAAGATGTCGTCTACAGTGGCGTTAACGACTCCTATCCTAAAAGGAATTATGAGAGATCGCCTACAATGTACAGAATGTAAGTACCTATCTATTTAATTTCAATTCCTAAACAAATAATAATATATGAATAGTACCTACCTACAAATTTTGTTATGAATTTTGTTCTGGCCCGCAGAACCATTAACTTGCCAATCATGGTAGGTATTAGTTTCGTTTTACTTAAATAAGCATCTGATATTATATACAATTCTCGTGTCACAACGTGCCCATATTCCTCCGAAACGGCTTTTTTACATATTTAGTAAGTCTGAGAATTGGCTGCTATAGATCTACACTAAAAAGTAGGAGGTTTGAATTAGGTATTTAAAAGTATTCTATTTATTTATTGTTATCAAAAATACTACTCAATCTTTTATCATCAACTCTTGCTTTTTATTGATTTTATTTAAATGATTGTTTTACTAACAATCATTTCATAAAACAGTTCCACGATTTGTACACTCATATCCCGCTTCCGTACACAGACACACGTTTAAGAAGTTATTTTATTGTGTTCTCTACAAATTCTCTACAAAAAAATTGTATTGCAAAACGTTTGCCAGTTCCGCTATTTAGCCGAGTCAGGTATATTATTTTAAAAAGGCAACTAATATTAGTGATCATAGAACCAGATCAGATACAAACAAGATTTCATTTTAACGTCAAAGCTAACTTGAATTTGCCGCCTTGCATTAAGGTTAACACACACTTATTCCAATATAAATAGTCGATTTTAAGCTAAGAACTTATAACACCCCTTTTTTAGGCAGACATGTAAAAAGGTTTCAGATTATAATTATAATATATTTATTTCTCCATTAATGCTAGACTTAATATATTTTATTAGAATTATAAAAATCAAATTTAGTAACATTTTCAAATGAAGATTACAGACTGAACTGTATTGAATAATGTACAAGCACTGACAAAACTATACCATTTGCAGATATAAATTATAATGCAAAGATAGCACGAGATTTAATTATTATTGTCAAATTTTTGTGAAGAGGGTAAGAGAAGAACACCATTTAGTCGATTTTTTACTTTAAGTCATTAGTAATCCACTAGCGTAAACTATCGCGAAGTGTGTGTGAAGGTTGACATCATAAAGGTCAAGCTCAGCTTGATACAATGCTTCTTTTTTGAAAAATTAAATTTAACTTTACCGAAAGCAATAATCGAAATTCTCTGTTGTTATAACATAAACCGACATAAAAATCTACTACATCTGGATCATTATAGAATTTCGAAATAAATTTCACTGTCGAATTTTTGTGATTGTTTGTGAACAAAAGTAAAACTTTTTTGTTAGCCTATGTTTATGACACGCCGAGATGCAAGAAAACAACAATTTTGAAACTATCATTAGCACATGGCGTCGTTTGTCTGGGGAACAAATAGAAACTGCTGTAGTAAGGTAAATGCAGTAAATGGATGTCGAGTACAATAACTGCAGTCACCATTTATCGAGTGTTGTTTACATTACTAATAATGATGCTATACACAATTGTGTAACAATGTGAGCGTTTTGTCGCCAATTGTAATTTAATCCCCCAGCTCGCGTGTACCTTAGTCACTTAGTCACGTTAATACTATCGCTCTGTTACTCTTGTTTCGTTGCTTGCCAAAGTTAATTGCAAAAATTCTTCTTTTAAGTATGTCTGGAGATTCACCTGATTACCAACCGCACAAGAAAAAAGAAGAGGAGACTGATTTGTTGATGCCAGAGAGGACAAAAGCACCCATTGCAAGCATAGCTACTGCTGGTACAGCATTAGCCACTACAGATGTGACATCAGACAGTACAGTTACTGGAAATGCTGAGGAGAAACAAGAGTTTATTAGACATGACAAAAAAGATGATAGCAAAGTAAGTGTTTATACATTCTGTTATTAAATCTTTATGAAACAGTTACAGCTACACCTTTTTTACCCGACTGCCAAAGAAGGAGGGTAATGTTTTTCGAGTGTATGTAAGTATGTATGTATGTCTTTTCCTTTGTGACCTCCTGTAGCCTAAACGGCTTGATGGATTTTGATGTATGAGGTATCGTTAGATTTGTCTTGATTACGGGAGTGTCATAGGATACATTTTATCCTAAAAGTCCCACGGGATAAAGACATAATAATATTTTTTCTACCAACAGTCCAGATTGGCGGTAAATTTATGTTGCGGAGTAACATCACTCGTAATCTAAAGCCAATTTAAAATGGTACTTACATATACACAGTCTTCTACATCTACAACATTTTCGTTAAATAAAAACAGCTAAAAAGTTATAAATAAAAAAATTATTATTAAAAAAACAAAATACCCGACTGCACACTAAAAAAAGAGTAAAACAAGCCCCACAATACAAATTTACTGAATATAATTTATAAATGTTGATGGAAAGCATCGCAGGCGGGGACCACCTTGACCGCCACCAACGAAAATTCTGCTAAATGGTGCACAACAGAAATGACTATAAATAAGCCTCTGTTGGTCCCCGCCTGCGATGCTTTCCATCAACATTTATAAATTATATTCAGTAAATTTGTATTGTGGGGCTTGTTTTACTCTTTTTTTAGTGTGCAGTCGGGTATTTTGTTTTTTTAATAATTATTATTTGAAGTGTTACAATTTGTTTCATATTTTTGTATAATAACAGCAAAACAAATTATTTGCAGGAAGCAGCAGGAGATACAAATGTTAATGATGCTAAAAGTGACAAGAGTGATGAATACCTTGACAATGACAAGGTGATAAACAAATCGGAAAAGATTGATAAGGATACTGAGAAGTTTGTAGACAAGGTAGATAGTGTATATCTAAGACCACCCCCACCGCACAAGGCCCGCTCAGCTGCATCCACAGTTGAAGAAGAAGATTGTGGCATCAAGTGCCTCTACTACACAATCCAGTGTTGTGACTGTGTACTCATGTAAGGTAGACCTATATAACATTCTCAGTATGCTCATCTAGTTATAAAATATTATCTCTATGCATATTCCATGATCTTATATTTTTACTCATAGTCATACACGAAGAAAACCTTGAATTTTTGCTCACCTATGGTGTTGTGTCAATAAACTTTACATTCTTATTAAAATGATATATTTTTATAACAAAAACTATTATATGCTCATGCATAAATTGCTTTATTTTGACTCTTAAAGTCATAACATTTTGGGTTTTACAATTTATTTAACTTTTATACTAATATGACAAAATTTGAGGTAACATTATATTGTTGAGTCTGTCATAGACTTAACACGCCATTATATCAACTATTTTTGTAATGTGCAAAATATTGCATTCCACTATGTTCCAAGTATGTGATAAGAAATATATTTTTGTATGATTAATATACAATAATTGTAATAATATTATTTAGGTACCTACGAATGAGAGTGATACTTTTAGTGATATGAAAAAGCCTTGTCTTCTCTATTACATAGTAGCACAAAGACTGTATTTTGAATCACTCTACATTGTTTTTGACTAACTTATTATTAAAAGAATATTTTGAGAAACAAAACACATTTTAAATATATAAAATTTTAAGATAAAATTCCAGTCATAATTTTCAATGAAGTGAATAGAAAATGTTTTATTTTTTTAAATTGCCCAATGTTTGTAACTAATTATTGCTGGGCCCAGTTCTCTTGATCTTTTATTTAAAAATTATAATCTGTATTAGCTAGCAGCAGCTATTTTATAATTCTGTAGTTTTATTATCATTAAGTTGTAGTGTTAGTAACTTTTTATAATGAATAAAAAGCCTTGTGCCAATGTCCTTCCATATCAATATAAGTCTCCAAACAAGGGAGTATTGATACATTTATTAAATATAGTCTTGTATTAAGATTTCTGTCTATTTTAATATCTTGTGTATGGTATTATTACTAGGTGTATCCAGTTTCGTACTGTACTTTAGAATTAGTATTTGCTGTAGTGGTACTTCTTATCTTCCTTTTCTGGTCAAACAATACCAGTTAGCCACGCCACTATTATAAGTCCTTTCTTATTATGAATTTACCAAGAGTAATGAAAATCTTTATAGCTATATTTTTGATGTTATATTTTGCCAACTGTTGCTAAAATTAAGGCATTCAGCCACTTTCTGTAGGAGACTATACTTGGTATAATAAATAGACTGTAGATTTATAAAACATGTATTTATAAAAAGTGTACACGTTTGTACTACAAATAAAAAAATATCCTTGAAACAGTTGTATTATTTTAAGACACTGATTAAACAGGGGATTGGGTGGTAAGTGAAACACAAACATTAATAAATTGTACATTTATTACAACCAATATGTAGTAGCACAACTTTAAAGATTCCAGTAAACTGACATTGAAATATGTATGTAGATATAAATGCAAAATTCATTATTTAATGTGTATGAATACCCAGCCTCAAATACTCCTATTATTGCTTAATTTTAATAATACACGAAATACTACTATTTTCCTTTTAAATGAATTAATAAACGCTTAAAAGGGCACAATATGCATGACATAAAATGTGATATCCACAAATATGGGTAAATAAATTATTTATCATTGAATAATGACATAGCCATTATTTCTCCTTGACTTACTAGCATTCATCACATTCGGGAACAATATTTTTAGCTAAACATATAATTTAGTGATGATCCAAAATGTTGGTAACTAATTACTAATTTAAAATGGTAACTGAATAAATTTAAAATGAATGTATTACAAAATAAAATTGTTATAACAATTTAGAGTACATACTTTGAAACAACACACATTCAGTATCAAATATGCTAATACCATACCTCTTATTTGGTTAATTGGATATTTCAATGTAATCAAATTAATTACAAATTGAAGATACCTATTTTCAATAGGTCTGGTCAGTTAAAACAGCTGATGTATAAGTGGCATGAAAGTTTATGCATTGGCATTATTGAAAGGTATCCTACATTCTATAATCTATTCGCACTTGTAAAGACAGTCACCTACAAATGTCCATTATGTGCTAAAGATTAACATTGTCTTGATTAGAATAATGATAAAAATATCTTATGCCCCTTAATTTTAAGGATAACGTATGTGTTTTCTAGCGCAAATCCTAGTGTAGGTACATTTGGATTGAACTGTACTTCTTTCGGAACAGTCTTTCAGTTTGTGAGATATTTTAAATGCCAACTAGCGTCTATTACAAATCATCATCATCATCCTGTCAAATTCTCAGACAAGTATAAAACACATTATGCAAAATATGTATTTAAAATACATAACTTGCATTGTATTGCAGTTTTAGTTACCATTACAATGTACAATTAAATTTAATTAAAATGAATTATGTAGCATATCACTAAAACAACATGAAACATTTAACAATGTAATTTTATAATATAATTGATTACTACTTAAATTAAAACAAAGTGAAAGCTAAGGACGTAAACTGATAATTGCATTATACATATTATGTATCAAAAATCGTAACAAGGAAGAACAACATACCTTATATTAATTTATGCTAAACCCCGGTAAAGTATACAACGTTTATTAAGTACTTAAATCTATAGTGGCTTCCTTTATAATTACGTAAATTGTGCGTTAGTGCATTTAATTTATCGTGATGTTTGCGTAGTTCTTAGGCCTTAACTTACCCATTATAACTGGGCATTATAATGCATGACTTATTGCATAGTGAGGTCGTTTCATAATTCAACTAACTAGCTCACCTACGAGTATATGCTAACCTTGGTAAAACTGCCATTTTGTCTTGAACTTTGACCCAACAGTAAATTACGCGCTGTCTTGTCGCCAAATAACATTCCTGCCTTGCTGTATAAGTATAATACATAACAACATATTAGCTATGCATTTACCTAATGTATAATTTGGCAAATAACGTGAAAAATGACCTATCACAAAATGTGCGTTCGATTAATTAGATTTTGTTTAACAAATCGAGTCTATACGAATATGTTTTAAACTTGAAACATTGTATATGTAGTTTCGTTATTAAACATTGTTAGCAAATGCATCCATTATGGTATTTTGAGGCACATATTACGGAATTAATGCTGCGAATAACAATCAGCATGACAATATATCATCAAAATTGTTAAAACTTGAATATTTTTCACAATTACTTATTTTGTAATTTCTTGACGACAGTCGACTTGTTTATTGGTAAAAATTTATTATACTACTAAAACACTTTTGTTAACATATCCACACAAATTTGGCTAAGAGTATCAGATGGAACAGGTCTTTTAATATTCGATTAAAAGACGAAGAAAAAGGTCGATGTTAGAAAATGCACATCAAGAGTTTGGTTCTCTGGGAATGGGTTTTACATATGTGGTAATCAATTAATGACAAGCCTAAAAGCAGTAAAAATGCTACAAGTCCTAAGGAGTCAGATTAGTTTTTGGGACAACAATATCGAGTGCTGAATTCGCCAAAAGTATCGATAAATAACCCTAAATATCAGCACTCAATGCCTAAGAAAATACCTACTTAGATTAAATTTATACACCTAACGCACGTCGCTCTAACTTTCATCTTTACGTTCCCTATACACACACAAGTAAGGTAAGTATAGACATAATATTATAGATATTGAACATAACAAATAATTAAAAATATGATAATGACTTGATTCAAATATATCCTACATTAAATAAAAATAATGATACTTTACATCTTGAAGTTTCAGTAACTACGACCCCGAACCAAACTATAGTATAAATAATTGGAATAACAACACTTGGGACCGTATAAGCCGTGAAGCTTGAGATTCATTTCAATTTACTAGCCATAAAAGCATGTTCAGTTATAGACAATAGAACAAAAACAATTAAATTATAACAATATTGACTACAGTAAAAATAATTTAAATATGACTAAACTTAGTTCACACCGGCTGGCTGGCTTACAATTATTATGCAACCATTACACTGCAATTTTGCCCTAAATTTCATTTTATATAAGGGCGATTTTCTTTTGTAATGCAACCCGTCGATTATGGCAAATATTTTACCACCAGCCTGCATAAAAATTCAATGATACAGCCAAATAAATATTCTTTGATTGAAATTAACTTAGTAAATAATCTGTGATAATATCATAGTCACTACAAAATTTGGTCCCGTCAAAATATAGTCTACCAAAAAGTAAATTAGTTATAAATTAACCAGAAAATATAATGATTGGTTGCTAAGAAAGGTGAGTAATACAAGAACTTCCTTGCATGTACAAAACATTAATTATAAATTCGTTACAAGTTAAGTACTAAGTAAAATACATAATCATTATTAGGAATATTGTGTTTCGATCTACTATTTTTACTATTTATCGTGTATTAGAGAAAATTATAATTCTATGAATAAACACACTGTATGCATACGTCATTTACCTACAGAGACGAGAAAATAAATGCTATTAAATATCTTCGAAAAATTGTAGCATGAATAAAAATTTATGTTTCTAGACAGTAGATAATAATATTATATGCTATACAATTAATACAGAAAACGGTTTTATAGTAATATAATGAGTACTCAATTCATAGATACTGTTCAGCACAACATTAACTACAAGTAGTAGTATTATATTATTAAGTATTGTATAAATATGGCGTAACACAATAATTATAATACCTACAGTTTCATACTGAACTTTGGGAGTAAACACACACCTATAATGACACAATTAGATATTTAAGAAATTGCACTACTATTGCTATTTTCCAAGAGGGATTCCATTGAGCGCACAGTGGCTACAGGAATTCTTACCTTGGAAAAGATTCGCGAAAACGCGCATTTCTTATTCGACTCTATGCTGTTTCGCAAAGGAGTCTCGACGCAAACATGCAGTCATGACGTCATAACCATGTTGCGATTTAAATGTACCAATAAACCGGCTCCTAGTTTTTGTGTATAGGCAGTGGATGAGCTTCGGAGTTAATGACGTACTTGTTCAGGTCAATTGTGAACCTATCATCGCTGAACAACAAGTACAGGTATTTCAGAGTCTCCGACAAGAAGAATGATTCCATCATGTCACGCTGAACTGGTTTCTCAACCTTGACGTTCGCGAGCGATGTGTAACCGTTTGGCACTCGTGCGTACTTCTCAAATCCCTGTAAGTATATATAATAAATTTTACATTAACTCAGTTTTTATTTGAAAACATTATTTCAACTTCAAATTATTGAAAGCAATAACAGCTTAGCAAATTTTCTTTGCAAATGTCTGTATGTATAATAAGATACAATATTAACTGACCTGATATATTTGCCAGCCCCAATCCTGATACGTTGTATTTCCTGTGATCTGGTACATATACCAGAGACTCTCCACGAACTCGGGTCGCAGGAGAGTGTGAGAGTCAGCTGTCTTAGTATACATGTCTTCAGCGACACTCGCCTGTGGAGCATTTTTGGGCGTTGGCACATTTTCCTAAATGGGGATGGAGAAAAAAGCCAAAATAAATCAACTGACAAAATAAAAGGTGTTTAAGCAGTAGGCCGTGATATCAATGAGTATTTATGAATTTATTTAATGCTGCCATAATGTGTGATGCAGGCTTAATATTGATTTAAATTATAAATCAATTATCATTAACTTGTATTAAACTATTTATATTGTCGAGATTGATTTTTAGATGTGTGTGTTTGTGTGTGAATCTAGTAAGTAATGATAGTGAGTATGAAATAAATAGGTAAACGTTAGAAGAATGAAATAAAAATAAAAATGAGAGCAAGAATGATTAAGGACATGAAACAGAATGTTGCAGTGCTTTCAAAATATCCAAACCCAGCAACATAAATAGATAAGAATGTCTTAAAATAACAAGTAACGGGCGAGTATAAGAAAGATATGCGATACACGGTAAAACACGAGGAAAGAAGACGAAAAATTAAGTGAAATAACATGTATCTGCATTGTAACAGTAGTTATTTTACGCCCGGTTCCTATAATTGAGAAACGATCCGTTTTAATTACGAATAGTAGTTTTATATACGACTCGTAAGTTAAAATCGTTCCTATAATAAACGTCTCGTCGTGCAACTTACTGACGGTTTGCAACTAACGGATATCGGTAAGCGAATTGTATGGAGATCTATGGTGTCTGTGGTTTCCCTATAAATATTTTAACCGTCAGTACGGTCAAGATAACTATTCGTAATGTCATTTGGTCGTAATGCGTATACAATGACGATTCGTTAAATATAGGAACCGGGCATTAGAAATTGTTTTGTTTATGCAATATGAGTATTTATTTTGTATGTCTATGTATCTCTTACATGGACGCCATCAAGGTAATTCTAGAAGGTACAGCTGTTCATATGATAATTTCTCTCTCGTAGGAGTTAGTGTATTTCTAATAGAATGTACCTAGGAACATCTAGATACATTCTATTAGCAATTTCGGGTTTCAAGGGTCTAGAACCTGCCCTAAACTACATTAATCTATACTAATATTATAAAGAGGTAAAATTTGTAAGTTTGTATGTAGGGGGTAATCTTTTGGAAAGAATTTTGGCAATCTGGCCAGATTGCCAAAATTCTTTCACGCTTTCATCATTTCAAAATTTTGATTTTGCAGCAATGACGCCCTAAGCCTTTTTAAAGCTTAGGGCGTCATTGCTGCAAAATCTTGAAAGCTTTTTTTGAGTGGTACTTAGTCATGTGAAGAATTCAGATGTCTTTTCAATCCAAACACCACATGTAGTAAGAGTATATCAGAAAACCTTTAAAAATACTGTACGATACTTACCATATAGAAGTGAGTTATCTCCGGTGCTAAGAATGTTGGATGAGCAGCATACGTCAAGTAACAGGTGTAGAGGAGTTCCTCCGCCATAGTCATATGCCAGTCAGGAAGGCCATTAGCGTGTCCCAGGGCTAATGTACCCGGCAAGAAGCAGGTCAAATGATCCATCTTGGGATTGAAAGCCTGGAATTTTATTATGATAAGATTAATTCATACATTTTCTATGCATACGTTTCACAATGTGGTAGTGGCCCGGAAGTTAAGGAGCTCGCTTCTCATGCACGAGAGTTCGAATCCTGGTAAGTACCAATGTGACTTTCCGAGTCATATGTACTTTCTTTGATTATTTAGACACCACTGACATACGGTGAAGGTAAACATCGTCAGGAAACCTGGACTTATAATTTCTAATTACAAGTTTGAAATCGCCAACCCGCCTCTTACCTTCTCCGTGTGAGAAGAGGTCTTTGCTCAGAAGTCGGCACTTATAGGGTGATGATGATGATACATTTTCTAAGCAGTAAATCCAAGGTCAATTGATACTATCAATGAAACAATAAAGTGATGAATTTATTTCTGTAAAGAGGCCATAATCAGCGCTTTTAGGCCCTATCAGAATACCAGCGCTGCTTTTTTGTATATTTAAAATGTAATAGTAATTGTGTATATTTTCTGTGCGAGTCTCAAATAAATGTTCTTTCTTCTTTCTTTTACACGTCATAATTATATACCAAGACGGCATTTACTATCTTACTATCCGTTCATTACAATAAATTTTAACTATAGTAATTTTTCGATAGTTCCAACCTATATAGAACGTTCTAAGATGAAATTCTGTTTTCCATATGTGTTCTATATTTAGCCAGTAATAATTTTCAAACGTGGTACGAAGTTTACAAGTGCAACATGTGTAAGGCCATTAAATTCTAATCTGGCCTTATCCAAAGGTTAGCATAATGATTGTGACGGTATCATTGTATGATATCAGCCAACTATAAGACTTGTTAAAAGCCGTTGAGAATTGTCTGAGTTTATTGCTGGACTCATAGTAGAATCACAGTATTATGTATAGTAGGTATGTATTTTGTTTGAAAATCAATTTTATTTATCAAGATTATTGCCCTAATTTAGTTAACATTATTATTATTCGCGTGGAGGAAGCAAGTCTATTGTCTTGATACGTAATAGCAATAGTATTCATGCTACCAATGGGCGAGTTTCCAACTAGTCAAATTCAATACTTTTATCCAAACGTCAAAAACGATAATTTTCTATGAAATTTGTATGAAAAACTGAGCAATGACGTCATAACATTTTTGCGTCAAATAGCTTACTTATTTCATAATAATTAGCTAAAAAAATCTAAAACTTAGTGTATCGATCGATCGATGAATAAAAGTATAGTTATTTTTCAATATTTTATAGTATTGAAACATCGAATTAATTTATTTTTGACCTACGAAACTACCCAATTATACTAAATTTCTACAACAAGCTTTTGTTTTAGTCTAGAATACAGAGTCATTTAGGAACTACAGGCGAAGTTACAAGGAAAACTATGTTTAATAATAATATATAATGTACAATAGATATGCGAACTTATTTAAAGTTTGCATAGAGATTACCTGACTAACTATTAACTGTTAATATTAGCAAACATTAATCAAGTGTTAGCGACCGCTACTAGACTTTTTGCTGCACATGCCAAGTATTACATATGAGATGACATGTTAAGTATTATTTATTCCACGTCAGTTTTTATACGAAGGAGGTCAAAGACCCTACACATAACAAGTATCAGAGAATCTTACATACATGTAAATTACCTATGGTTTAGCAGCTATTGTGAAACGGTCTCAGTATGAATAACAAACAACATGTAAAACTTAAAACCGCACCTATTTTGTAGACAGTAAGATTTATTATATATTTTTCTGCTATTTATATGAAAAAACTTTTTTCTAAGTGTGGTGGACAACATTTGTTTGTTTGTACGATGTCATTTATTTCTTTATAGACAACTATTTAGTCTCTTTTTGCTAGACAGACAAGACATTTTATTTATTAACTATTTTAACAATAAAAACTGATGTCCTTTTCACGCATGAGTGACGCAATTGCAGCGCTTTTCTTTTAATGTTCATTGTTTATTTTGTCTTAGGTACCTATATTCGTGTGTGTTTGTTTCTTGCGTCATTTGTAAAATAAATGGTTTTTATTTCTTTCTACTTTCTTTCTTTATGTGACATGATAGTTTTAAGATAAAATTTATTTATACATTAATATTAAATATATTATAAATTAATATTAAATATATTATAAATTAACTTTAAATATATTATGTACCTATACATAAAATTACTGAGAATTTAAATACATATATATTATGTATATATAAAATTAAATTTTAAATTAAAGCACATTTTTTCGTGATGTTGCTATGCCGCTCTGCTTATCCAGTGCTACCAGTTCGATGGTGGCAGTACAACGATAGATAAGCGACGCGTGTGATAACATTATCTAATTAGCGATTAAATAAACATTTTATGATATCACGGAGAAATGTGTGAAAAAAACATGTGCATGTTTTTAGACATACAAACGTAGCTTTTGTATTAGAAAGGTACAAGTTTCCAGGAAATTACTTTATTTTTGTGTAGGTATCTACTAAAAATTCTATAACGATACTTGATATGATTTGAATTCATCAATTATTAAAAAAATATATTTTTATACAATTTATTTACATGTCATTTGAAAATAATATCACTACACCTCATATTCATCACATCACTATTGCGTTGTTATGCAGTAACTATTGGTTTGAAATGGAATATATGGACTGTGTGCCGAATAAAGTTCCTAAAATTTTATGGAATCATCAACCAAAGTTCTAATAGTTTCAAAAACCTTACATCATTAATTATTTCGTAAACTTTTTATCTAACACACAAATAGTATAAAATATGATAAACTATCATTCGTCGTCACTATATTTATATATTTTTTTCATATTCTCATATCACTATTCAAATAAGAACGAATATTAAAATATCTCACCTCTGACCCTGCCGATAGTTCTCCAATGAACAGATGCTTGTTAGGTGACGAACGCTTAGCCAAAAAGTTACGGACGCCCTCGATAGCAGTCAAGTAATCGTCCAATAAACTGAAATAGAATAAACAATTTGCTTAAAATTGGTTTATTTCAAAATTAGAACACAGACTGATAGCTGTATTTATCTAATATATAAAATGAATCGCAAAATGTGTTGGTAAACGCATAACTCAACAATGCCTGAACCAATTCTGAGATTTTTTTATTGTATTTAGTACGGTCAAGAGAAGGTTCTTATGAAAAAATATATTTGAAAAGTAGAGGGGGAAATTGGAATATGGTGGGCCTTTCGCAAAATAGACCTGTGCGAAGCGAGGGCGGGCTACTAGCATAATAATAAAATTTACATGTATTTTTGAAGTATGACAAAGTATGACAATAATACATATTATGCCAGTAGTCAAAACATTTTGATTAAACACAATAAATCGGCTTAATTCAATCTTAATATTTAATGCAACTAAAAACTTGGCAACAATGCTAAGTATAGTATGCTTGGCTTAGCTTAAATTTTCATTTGAAGGTGTTTTGGATTGTACGCTCAGCAGTTCAAGCTTATAATATTAGCGGCACTTTTAATAGGCATGTAATAACTACATAACTCGACTATTTTAGAAGGATGGTGGCTGATGATGGTGGCCTCAACTAAATATTCAACGTAGAATTTAATAATCTATGACAGATACTTAGGGAAGTATCGTATGACGTCAAAATTTAGTTTGAACGTTTTTTAACGCCTAAACCTACGTAAATTAGTTTTAACCAAGTCTAATCTTTTTTCTTTATGTAACTGGTGGACTTAATAGATTTTAAATTTCAGTACCCTGTCAAAGTGTGTATGAAAATAGATTCTCCACCTATTGCAAAAGACTTATAACAGATCTGTTTAAACTTTTGTCGCAAAATAGTGACAGTACCTGAAGTTAATAATATCTTTGTTTGTCTAGCACTGCAGTTGCCATGGTTGGCTGATGAGTTTAATGACATATTGAATATCATAGGTAATATAACTGACTAAGTCTTTCGCTAAGCCACAAAACAGTATGACACACACTTAGAGTAAAATATCCATTTTATAAATAGAACTTTTATTGTTTTTTAGTTCTATTTTGTCGTCCCAACACTAATGGACCGAGCAAAACATTTACACCCGGTTTCCGAAAGGCCGATTAATGTTAAAATCAATTTAATCTCTTGTCAAGTCATCTGATTGGTTGACTGAATTATCAACAACCAATCAGATGACTTGACAAGAGATTTGACACCTAGTTAGTTGATTTTGACATTGATCGGGCTTTCAGAAACCGGGCATTAGAGTAAAATATCCATTTTATAAATAGAACTTTAATTGTTTTTTGCTTTTATTTTGTGGTTCCAACACTAACGGAACGAGGAAAACATTAAATATATTAAAACTTGTTTAGCTTACTATACCTACAAAAATATACAGAGAGAAGTGACTTAATATGTATATATTTGACAATAGCATTAACTTGTGCTTAGTGCTGCGTGATACATTCGCTCTTCATTGTAATTAAGACTTACAACCTATGTATCATACTCCGTGTGACCCGGAATTACTCAGGACCCATGATTCCAAGTACCTACTATCTATCTATAGGTATATACATGTTGACCTATGGTCCCTCAAATATTTCGTACTCAACTCGCCAGCCACACACTTGAACTACTTATTTGACCTTTATATTGTCTAATTAAGCTAATTGTCGCATATTCACAAGGTTCTAAAAATAGCATTCGCCGCGGTGTCAAAGGATTTTATGACTAATTTTTTTTTGTGGCTGTATCAGCATATTACACATTAATTGTTGTTATCTGATATGTGACATTGTCAGTGAAAAAATGAAGAACTGATTAGTTGTAAGCATTTTTAAGGTATCTTATACAGCCGGATTATCCTTAAGCCATATTACTCATCTGTTCTAGGGCGTACAGATATAATAGAAATGTCTACCAAAATAATGGTGTATTTATTTTATCTATTTTTACTTCATTAAGTGGGCGCCAACTGACGTGCTTGCCCAGGGCACTCTTGACATTTAATCTGCCTCCTATATCTCAAAGACATGTTTACCAATATCAATATGCTCGAGGCGTCATCGATAAGTAGATATTGATTGCGTTTACTAAAAATATTTCATTGTTACGAACACCTACGTTACCGCTACAAGATAAACATTTAATAAATGATTATTTTTGCACTAAAAGTGGCACTACACTAGATAAGTATGTGGATGTCACTGTCATCCATTACTTACTGAGTTTAATATTCGTGAACGGTTGAGTGTTACCCAAATATTATTACTATAAAGTCGTCGATCGATTGAAAACAAATATAGGTATTATTTCGCAGTGCAAAATGTTCTGTGGTAGGAACAGCCCATAGGCAACATAATAATAGTATGGAATAATAGCGTAGCTAAAATTAGAGGCATTTTCACAGTTCGCTGTTCGCAGTATGCATCAGTTATCTAAGTTAAGACTATTTGATATTCATACTATTGTATGTGACCAAGAAAATTGATTATAGTAACAATATAACTTCGCAACAAAATTAATGAAGAAAATAATAATATGTTGTGTACATATCTTGTAAATTTTATGCCAACACTACTTACTAATGTATAATTAAATGTGTTATAATATTTTTTTTATTTAAACACCTTTTACAATACTAATAACAATGTATTTTAGCACAAAGAGAGATACATAGTTCTCAATCGATGTAACAGATGTTTACAGGTCACATTTGCGCAAGCGAAGTAAATAAATACAAACATTTCATTAATAAACAATACAATACTTACTAGTTGATAGTTTTTCCAGTTTGCAGCCATTGTTTGAGTAAGTATTCGTAATAGCTGTCCCCTCTAGCTCCAAGCGTTATGGTGGCGTGCGGCAGAAAATGGCCGGTGTTGGGGTTTATAAATATCGGCACCAAACCATGCTTCTTCGGTAAATGATGTATTTTCTCAGATACCGCTGCGGCAGCATCCTGTAATAAAAAAAACATACTTGGAATAAGTTACGTTAACATCTCTTTCCTCAAATGTATGATGAAGATTCTTAGAATTTATCTGTCTGACTGTGTATGTGTCCCTCGGACATTATATATACATGAAGATATCGTAAGTACTAAATTAGATGGATAGATGGGATATTAATTGGCCTTTCACGTAAAAGCTACTAAATAAAACTAGGCATAGGACTAGAACATAACAAAAAAATATTCAACTTTTAACCCTGATATTGTGGGCAATGCCGCTGGCAAATGCTAGTTAAGTATATGTAGACGAAGAGAAAGATAATAATATACGAACATTGTTACAATACTCCTGCCTACCCCAAAGGGACAAGCATGAGTTTATATACATAGTTACTACGTACATTTGTGCATATATTGGAAATAACTATTTGTGGACAGCAACAAAAATAATAAAATAATAACAGGAGAAAATCCTAATGTGGGGCAACGTTTTTTTAAAACACAAAAACACAAACACACAAATAACGCACAATTTGTTTTTAATAACAATCCTAGAAAGTGGATATTTTTATACACCAACGTCGCAACTAAAAACCTATTAAAATATTACATTTGACCGTTTGTGTCGCGTTACAAAACATACTAACAGTCAATTAGCTTAACTACTAGTGGAAGTATAGATAAGCCTCATGGCAATTAGTAACTTGTTCTTTTCAGTGTAATGACGCATATTAATTGCAGGTAGGTACTTTATGTTTAAGAGATGAGAGTGTCAACCGTGATTCTTGCAAGATATTTCACTATGTTTGACGTACATGACTGTTCTGTGGGAGGCAGTCAACAATTCCGAATAAACACTCATTGTGCTGAACGACAATAGAACATTTTTTCCATTAACATTTTTACAGTATCACGTGTTCGCAAGGACGAATAAATCACACAAACATTGTCCAAATAGATTTACCTACATTGAGCATAAAAACATGTTACGTTCTTCGTGGGAAATGAATTTGTGATGCGTATCATTCACTGTGGCGATGTGCGCTTGTGTTGAATTTTAACTATGTTGCTAGTACTTATAATATTTATTTGAATAAATATATTCTATATCTATATTCGTACGCACTGTATCTATATTGCTTTCGGATATTCCACTTGTAGAGTCTATGGAGGTAATTCGGATAAATTTAGTCAACTAAAAGTTATTTTTAGACCTTTTTGTGGTTACGGCGATTAATGGATTTATCAAGTAACTAAATTAGATACATGTGTTAACTATATGAAGGTACGAAATTATGATGGATTTTTTAAACGAACTTATAAAAGACTATTTTAAAAACCCACCTCAAAGCCAGGATTGTTGCTGGCACGGGACAGTTCCCTGAACTCCAACTGCACTGTAGTCACTTCCGCAGTAGTACTGTAGTGGGACCATTCTGGTGCATGAGCAGTTCTCTCACCAAGGTTCACGTCGGAATATGGAATACCAGATGGTGAAGAGAAGGCAGCCATCAAACGGTCTCCCAGATCAATCTAAAAATAATAATTATGTAGGTACAAATGTGGGAGAACTAAGCTTCGGCACGAATTGGTCGGAACCGGAGTGATAGCATGGCCTCACAGAAAACCAGTGTGAAACAACCACAGCGTCGTGTTTCGCCGTCTGAGTGAAGTTAAAGGAGGCCCCATCCCTTCCCAATCCTTAAAAATCCGAAACTCTCATCGCGAAAAGGCCGGCGCCGCACTCGTAACTCCTTTGGTGTCCATGACTTTTGCCGACGTACACCATAAAAAAACATATTTTCTCTGAACGAAGTCAAGCTACAAGCTAATCAACAAGGCGCCATTTGTAGATACTTCAGTTTTCCTGTATAAAATTCTATACTCACGGCTTTAGTCAGGAACATACGATCTTGAGTAAAATGGTAACATGACAGCAAGCCCCCCAGAACACGAATGGTCACTTCGAAGAAATTTACATCTTTATTCTTTGTGAAAACAAGCTCGTTCTGAATCCATTGTTTGCCTTCTTCAAATTCTAAGAAATTAAAAAAAATACTTATTCAATCCATGAGTTATTTTAATTTAGATTTATTAAAATATTTAATGTCTTTTTTAAAGTATTACCGTTACCTATTACCCACTTTGTGCTACAACATGCAATAATAAAACATAATATGTTACCATCAGTCAGTCCCATAATATAAGCTGTGTCAAGAGAATCAACAATGGTGAGTCCAAGAGAGAACCAGTCAAACGCCATCCCAGAGACCGGTCTCAAATTGTCGTGACCCCATGCATGTTCCTTGTAACCCCGCCAAGCATGCCTGAAGCTCTCAACTACTGCATACTGACGAGCATTTATAGGTCCTAAAAAATAAAAAAATTAAATACAATTTATTCTTACAAACTATACTTAACATTTGTTATTAAAACATTGACTGTGCAAGGAAATAAACTCCAGATACTTATACTAAACATAAAATTCAAATATAACAATGGATTAAAACAAATTACAATGCAACATCTAATTATAAAATAATAAATGATTTTAAAATTGTTTCTATACCTGTAAATATAGGTCTTTCAGCTTTATCATCATTTACAACAGTCTTCTTTGAAACAGCGGCCTCAGCTACTTGTTCGTTGACTAGAGAAACATTTTTTAGACTTTCCTAAAACATAATTAAACAGAACATTTAACATCACATTTGCAAGTTTTTAAATAATTAATCATATGTTTGTCACTTGTAACATAGTGGTATTATCTGTAAAACAGTAGTTAATGTATTTTTAGATAAGCGCGTGTGGAAATTACAGCCGCCAATGAGGGTTCACGATAACACTACAATCGTAAATAGAAGCAGGAAATGTATTTTGAACATCAATTTTAATGTATACTACTACCGCACACTAAAGTTAACACAAAAAAAGTAATGTATAATGGTTACTTAATAATAATCAATAAGAAAATTGGTGTTCAGAGATTTGTGCCATATTATTTATTATTTATGTCTGATAAAACACAGACTTTTTGCTTAAAATACTTACTTGTGCTAAATCACTATGATTAATTTTATTTACATTAGCTGCAGAAACCTTTGAGACATAAAACATCACTAAGACAGTTCCCGCTATCACAAATAGAGCATAAACTATTGATCGTTGCAGTCTTGACAAACGATTCCATCGCTGAAAAAGAAAATATAATCTTAAATACAGTCTTTTATCACCATATTTATGATATACATGAACAAAATTTTTATGTATTTTTTTATAAATGGATGGAAAAAGTATAATCTGTTTTGATTATCTGTTTAATAACATTTTTTTTTTTATTTTTAGGCAATGTCTAACTGCTTTCAAAGTATAATCCAATTTGCATTCAAAATTTTTTTTAAATGTGGTCCATTTCAACATTTTCTTATTTATAAATATGTCCACATAAGATGTATGAGGCGATTTGTCTTTATATTTAAAGGACAGTATTCTTAATTAATGCCTTTTAAAAAAGATAGGGTATGCCTAAGTTTAAACACTACCTAAGTAATTAATATCAAAAAATAGGCAACATCCAATAGGATCTATGTTATATCAGTACCTATACCTTATGTAAGTAAGATTAGATAAAAATAATAGCTAGGCTTATGATAAATGTTTTTGATAAAATGTTAACTCAGTAATAAGTCCCAATAATTCTGGAGTTGAGATAATTGAACAATAATTCAAGTAGGTAACTAAACTAATATTTAATTGAAGAATAAAAAAATTGTGATTAAAAGTCATTGATACAGATATGAATGTGCAATACCATAATACATATCAGACTTACCCTAATAATTTTCCTATGAGATCCACTAGGCTGTTGGTCTGTGATTAGCACTGAAGTGTCATTCTTAATACTCCATGCACCTATACTGTTCGGAGGAACTATTGGTGATTCATCAGTGTCATTGAACTCTATTTTCATATCCATACTGGATGCTGATATTTCTTCACTTACAAACTTGGCATTATATTTTTAACATATTTATTTCTGCAATTACAAATTATCATGTTCAACACAGCACTATCTTCACTTTAATACACAACAATTTTTGATTTACAAATATTGAGGTCAAATTAAGAAGGCAGTCAAATACCACCACTGCAGTTTTAAGTTTTCAATTGCAAAAGTAAAGTTATATTAAAGAATTAAAAGACCGAGTAACGAAAAAAATATGAAAACTATACTAACAACTTCAGTTAGTTTTAAGTAAATAAATTATAAATAATATGAATTAAACATAATATTGATTTTGTTACTATATCTTCACTAGTGTCTGGGTCCCTAGCTGACCAGTAAACACTTGAAAATGACTAAACTGCGAAGCTCCACGTCCGCAAAGTATAAAAGCAAAGCCATTTTCAAATGCCTCAAATATTTTTAAAATCATTCTTACATAGATATTTGGCAAATCGAACGAAATCCTGCTTTCGAAAGAAATACGCACTACTATCACTCAATGAACCGATTTTTTGCCACATTATGTATAAATAACATACATAAAACTAATAAAAAATTAATTTCAAGATAAAAATCACATTGAAATGGAAACGAATTGAATTGTACGTACAAGCGCCTGACGTGACGTGACGTGCGAGCTGACGGCAAGTCGACTTACTAAACCACAGATAAAAAATAAAATAACGAGAAATAAAGCAAAGCCATAGATAAAATAAGTCTTACGTCACATTACAGGTGGTCCGAGAAGTTTGAATGAAATCGATTAGGTGCTGCCCGTGTTATTTGGCGGTTTCGATCATTATCTCTTTTTTATCTCAGAATATTGGTCAAATTTTTGTTTTGTTTAATCATGTCCGATTAAGTGTTTGTTTGTAACTACCTTATTTTCTAATATAACTCACAAAAGATTATTGTTTAGCCACGAGTTAAGACACAAACTTTAGACTTACTTTACTTAGACTTTGTATAAGAATAGGCCTTTCTTATCATATTTCTTACATCTCCCGCCCAGAATAAGACGATAGAGAGTGTCAGACTTTTACTGACTACACGCCCCGTCTCCTCTCCCGTTCCTTCTCCTATTTTGGGTCGAGGCCATGCTGCCACATTGCGCTTACACCGCAACCCCGGCTAAACATTAGCCCTGTAGGGCCCCGGCTGTAGTGGTCTATTGGCTCCTTGATGCGCGCGCGGAACGCTACGTATCGTACACTAGGGGCCTGGTTCTGATCGGGCGGCGAGCTACCCTTACTCGCCCTCCGTCCCTGAGGACACGGCGGTGCTCAGTCCAAGCAGGGCACACCGCCACTGTCACTGTTCACCTACCTACCTACTCGAATTTAATTTCAGTCTCCAGATGTTATCAGTCATCAGTCCCAAACTAACACCAAATGACATGAGTCCGTTGGGACTGATGACTGTTAAAGTCAGTCGACAGTCCAACAGTCGTATCGTGAACAATACTGTAAAGTATTTCAGTTTAGTTAAAATAAAAACAATGGGACTTATTCTTGGGTAACGTTTACATTATGTGGCCTAATTCAGATACTTATTTTTTTTGTTTCCCATGTCGTCTCAACATAGCAAATCCAGATAACCCAGGGGGACTTTCCCGGGGTAACTGGGTCAGTGCATAGTTAGTCACTAGTTCCTTATGTACGCTATGGTATGCATTAATAATTAGATACAAGCATAATTAACAAAAGATATTGCACAACCGGGGAACCCAGTCATCAAACACCATACTGAAATACTGACAAAAATAAATGAAATTATTCATTGGGCATAGCATCGCATCCTTTCCCGGACCATAACTAGGTGAGGCCAGGTGACTACTTCCCAGTTTCAGCCAGCCAGTTTCTCTCGCTCCGCACAGCTGATTACAACATTTTCCCTCCGCCCATCATTATACCTATTATGAAAGTGCCCGTTGAACTATGAGTCCGCTTGATTGTGTCAGATGCTAAGGCTGTTGCAACCTCGACCTTTTCTGTAAACAGGATCGACCCTCCTACGAACTCGCTCAGTAGCCTCCTTTTGGGATAATTTAGTCATTCAAAAGAAGGCGGGGAAACAAGGGGAGGGCGAGTTAACATCGACTCCGTATTGAATATTTAAAAAAAAATAGGTAATTGCGAATTAATGAATACATAGATTAAAGGTGTGATTGTGAATAAAGTTACAATCGTCGGTAACTATTGTTATCTCAGAAAAACTTATCTGCAAAGTGCAAATTTTTTTTAGGACAGTGTTTTTAAAGAACATTAGTAAAGTATTTACCTAACCAATATAAAAGGACGATATCATAAAGGACTACAGGCACATTATCAGAATCTTAAGAAAAACAGCAATTAACTAACTAAAATAAAATTCGAAATTTTCAATAATTTGAATTATATTCCAACATCACTAATAAAGAACAGTTCTGTGAGGGGAGAATCGTTCTTTATTAGTGATCGATGTATTCCAATTATTATTGTATAAGTTACAATAAAGCTTACTAGTGTCACCTAGTGTACACAAAAATCAATACTGTAAAATAGACATCTAGTGATTAACATTAGTACTACGAACACAGCAAATCAATAACGCCACTACGGCGCGGGCGAGCACTCTCCAATTCAGATGTCGACGACAATGGGAAGAGGGCACTGTAAGTATATACTCGTAGTAGGTACCTATAGATACCGGATTTGTCAGATGATGATAGCGATTTGGTTTCTCAACTCAAGAAGCGTGTGATCTCACTAATAAACTTACTGAACATGGAGAAATTTACTCATTCAGTCTGGAAATTAAAAAGCTTATAAAAGAAAACGTAGGTATGTGTAAGTAGGTATGTGTAATAGGTATGTTTGTAACCGCACCCCCGACATAGGTCAAGGGACGATCTCCGGCCACCGTAAGCACGGGCCTGCAGTCGGCGAGTAAGGGCAGCTCGCCGCCCGACCAGAACCAAGCCCGAGCGTACGGCGCGTAGCGTTCCGCGCGCGCCTCAAAGAGCCAACAGACCACAACGAAGGGCTGATGTTCAGCCGGGGGTTGCGGGGTAAGCGCACGGAATGAGGCACCGCGACCTCGGGCCAGAGCAGGAGAAGGAACAGGGGGTTTTTAGTCAGTAAGAGTCTGACACTCCCTCGCGCCCGGCCCTGGGCGGGAGAAGTCATTTAATGATTTTCCCCTCACAAAAAAAACCCCCGACATAGGTAACAATCCTAATCCTAATGTGAGGCAACGTTTTTTATTATCGAAAAAACGAAGATCTAATCCGCAAAAACTCCAGTCATTATAAAGTACCTACTTAGCAGTCAAGGGTTGGTGAGGATTGACGGGTCGGCATCCAAAAGATTCAGTTTCGAAATAGGATTTCGACAAGGCTGTATTCTACCGCCCTTGCTGTTTAAATATACGGTCAATACATAATGAGGCATACCTGTGACATGGGACAGCTTCAGAAAATATGGAAGGACAACAACTTCTCGCTTAAAACAAAGAACAAACTTGTGCGCTCTGTAGTGTTCACCATATTTTTATAAGGAGCAGAGTCGTGGATCATGAAGAAAACCCGTGTAATGTAGTGAAATGTAGTGCTGGGGAAAAATTCTAGGGATTCCTTGGACGACACATCGCACCAATGTAACGATCCTCCAGGAGCTTAAGATCCACACAAGGCTCTTTTCCATATGCCTCTGCAGAATTCAGGAGTTTTTTGGAAACACTGCCAGAAGGAACAATTATAACTTGGAAAAGTTACTAATCAATGGCAAAGTGGAAGGAAAGATACCTAAAGACCGATACGTTGGACGGATCAGAGCCGCACCACTCTCAACACTACTTATGTTACTTTAACATAATTACACAAATGAGAAACAAATTACAGGATTTAAAGAACACTAACATTATTATAACGTTACCAAGATTCAAGTTCAATCGTTACTAAGAAGAACACTTTATACAATTACTCCAGACAGACAGAAACATTTATTAACATGTTGTATTTAGACAATGTTTACACATGAACACTTGTGACTCTAATTTTAAATGTAAGCCACCATGAAAATAATTTTCAATGATCTATTCAATCTACAGTTGAAGATTTTAGAAGAAAATGCGCTTAGCAGAGAATAAATGAACCAAAAGCATTTTTTCTCCAGTAAGTAAATAACTTAAGTAAGCACACCAAAATATTGCAGGTTTATTAAATAAATCTAATGCTCCTACTGTGTGCTTAAACGAACTCGCCGAGAAAAATTTCATATGTCTTACCGACCAATTTATCATGCGGAATGTATACTTTTTAGGAAATAATTATCACCAAAAGAGAAAAACCTCCACTATCAAAAATTAATTATAAGGGATTTTTGAATGTTGTGCTCGCAAACTTACTAATTATTAACTACCATTTAATTACCTAATAGTAAAATGTATTTATAAAATTCGAAATGCAAAGAATTTGAATGATTGTTTTGATAAACTAGAAAATACTCAGATTGATTTGGAACAGACGTTTTAAAAATATTGTTATTGGAGGCAACTTCCACATTGATGGTTTAAAACCGAGTAATGTAACGGCTACACAGGAGTATCTTTTATTAAGTTTAAGCAGCCCACTACACTGGACACGCTGCTATAGCAGCGGAAAGTGCTTCTTTGAGGAGCGGCTCGAGAGGCGCCATGGCGTCCTCAGTTTCCTCCAGATGCAGGTACTTACCGGGTACAGTAGTTTCGGTAAGTTCCTGTTTCGGATTTGGTGGGAGAAATCGCCCGAGTGTCGTCATTGTGAGGATCACCCAGACGACCCATACGGTGGCGGTGTGCTTGGGCTAAGCACTGCCGTGTCCTAAGGGAAATGATCGGTGGTAGCGACTTCTCGCGCCCGGCCTTAGTCGAGGCCATTGTGCGGAGTGAGAGGCACTAAGAACCTGTCTCCTCACACTGCGAAGCAGTTATAGTGGCAAAAAGGAGGCGGAGCGCGTGAGAGAGCTACGGGCGTCGGGGATCAAGGGACGATCTCCGGCCACCGTATGCGCGGGGCTGCGGTTGGCGAGTAAGGGCAGCTCGCCGCCCGACCAGAACCAGCCCGAACGTACGACGCGCAGCGTTCCGCGCGCGCGCCTCAAAGAGCCAATAGCCCACCACAGACGGGGCCCTATAGGGCTGATGTTCAGCCGGGGCTGCGGGGTAAGCGCAATGAGGCACCGCGACCTCGGCCCAGAGCAGAAGAAGGAACAGGGGGGTTTTTAGGCAGTTAGAGTCTGACACTCCCTCCCGCCCGGCCCTGGGCGGGAGAAGTCATTTGATAATTTGAAAAAAAAAAATATAAATATAATAGTTGTATAAATAATTACATATATAATTGATATCATTTATGTATAAGTTATTTTGATTTTAGGAATTACATTCATTTCCTAGGTATAGTCTACAAGTCTACAAAGACGGATTACATACTTTTCCTTTAACATAAGTAATTATGGCGACTGGAAAGTGTAGGAGAGACTACATTTTCCCAAACCACGCGGGTTAAGCCACAGGTGGAAATTTTGTGAAGGCATATTATAATCAAATAACATACGTAATATGTATACATAGCCACTTACTTACATTTTAATCCAAAAAATATGGCTGACCACCTATGATGGTATGTCCGTCTCCATGTTGACGATAAAAAGTTGAATT